AGGCTTAGGCCAGCCAGCACCTTCCACTCCTGGCCCAGGGCTGGTTCCAGGGTGTGCTGTCACCTGGGCGCCCAGGTCTGGTGATTCTTGCTTGGCCTGGGCACACAGGCTCTGAAGGGGCCTGGAACACTGTCCTGCATTTCCTTCATGAGATGTCCTTCATCTTTCATGTAAAAATCGTCGACACTGTTCAGACATTTCCAACCCAGTAGGACTCAAGTTGGGACCCACTTTGTCTTCTCCATTCAACTTCCTAATATGCTCCATGCAAAGAGGGCCTGGAGGGAGCGGGTGTGGGATAAGAAGCCCAGCCTGGATTGGAGTGGCACCTCCCTGCTCTTCTATGTACTAAGAAAGACACACACAGGACAATGCCTGTCTGGGCCTTGAGAGCAGCTTAGGGAAGAAGACATGTGACAATTGGGGCTTTCAACAACCCAGGAAGAGAGCTCAGCACTATCCTGACAAATAATAATGCTCTCCCAAAGAACTTTAGGGTCTGCATGCACGTGAAAGAATCTATGTCATTGAAGTGATGTGGCTTGGGCTGGAGACAGAGCTCAGTGGCAGAGCACTTGCCTAGCAGGCATGAGGCTTTGGGTTCAACCCATAGCACCCCCAAAGTGGGGGAAATCATGCGGCTTTACTTGACATTGCAACACTTACGAGTGACTCAACCGTAATCTGACTGATGAGATTTACTCCATTACATTTTCCAGTGTGTCTAATTATGTTGCTCAGTTGACGATGAACGACCTCTTTCTCTGCCCTGTCCTAGGGTTTATCGATAATCTTTGCTTTTAGCAACCTGCACTGTCATGGTGCCTTGATACTGTCTTCTCCAGGGGACTATGTTTCTTTGTGTTCCTGACCCCAGCACAGTGCCTGAATCTTTTCAGGCTTATAAGAAGCATCTGGCCAGTCACATGATGTCAAGACAAGAACGTTTTTCCAATTATGTGTAATGTGCCATCAAAAAGTGTCACTCTAATTGGGCTACTTCCAGAAATGAGGGCAGATTGTCCACAGGCTCACCATGCACCACTACAAGCCCAGAGGAGGGCTCTAATACCTCGCCCATGGCACACCCCCATATCCACTCTCATGCAAGAGTACAGTGCAAGGGCAGGGTGGAGCTCAGTGGTAGAGGCACTTGCCTGGCATATGCCAGCCCAAGGTTGGATCCCCACACTGCAATCAATCAATAAAACCATGGCAAAGTGAAGCTAAGCACCTTTATTATGCAGGCAGCAAGAAGGGACAGCCTTGGATCCATGGCACGGGGTCCCCAGGGCTTGGGAAGGTGATTCAGGACAGGTGCAGTCTTGTGTGTGCATGGCCCGCCCTGCAGCCCAGCTAAGGGTTCCAAAGCACACTTCCCCTGGCTTTGAGCCTGGTGGTCACAGAACTCACTGGGCTAAATGTTGTGGGATGTCTGGCTGGTATAAAGGGACTGGATTTCAGGTGCCTCCTACAAACACACACCTCCACCCCTCCCAGTCCCCATTCTAGGAAGAGTTGGTTAAATCTCATCTTGGTGTCAATTTTACAGCCTCACCAAGCTTTTCTTTCTTCCCGAGAGTTTTGCTTCAGCTAAACTGAGCTGGCCTACCCTGGATTAAGGAAGGCATTTCTGTCTCTGGTACCTCAAATCGGCCTGCTGCTGCTATTCCAGTGGTATCTGTCTGGACCCCTCATTGAATCTGTCTGATGATTTCCACTCACTCCGGCATCTAATTCCTCGAGACTCATAAGATTGTAGAAGATCAGGGCTGGGGGCCCTGGTGGCTGGACAGTCACAGAGAAGACATTGCTCCATGCGTCCTCTACCCTGCAGATCCCTAGGTGTGCTGGGCTGTATAAACGCTAGCAGATGTCAACTCTCTCAATTCTTTTAAAGATCTTTTTCCAAAATGTGATAATTACATCACACCAGAAAATCAAATAATCATGCAATTGATCTGGCTCGGATTTCATTTAGAATAGATGGGGACACTCCAGTAAACTTGATTTGGTTTGGCACAAGCCCTGATGCTATCAGCTGCAGACCCCCAGAGGAAGTCATTCTGCATTGATTTTAAATAATTTCCATTTCAGAGGAGGCAATTATCTGACCTAATTCCCCAAATCTTGGGAAAAATTAACATAAGGACAAAGAAAAATTAGGGGCTGGGAATGTTGGGAGTCAGAGGTCTCTGTTCCCACCTCCACTGGGAAGGCAGTGCTCACAGGTCTTCCCCACTCTCTGAACTGAACGCTAGTGCTGTGGCGCTCACACCTTGCTGATCCATCTGGGCACCTGGAGTTTATCAGGACAGTGATGAAATGCCCTGACCCTTAGCATTTTTTAGACTTAAGGAATTGTGCACAAAATGTCCAAAATACAGTCGTACATCACATAACAACGTTTCTATCAGCATGGTTCACACACACACAGCAGGGGTCCCATAAGATTCTAACGGAGCTGAAAAATTCCTACCAGCTAGTGATATTGTAGCCCTTGCAACCTCATGGCACAGCATGTTGCCCACCTGTCTGTGGTGATGCCGGTGCAAACAATCCTCATGTGTTCCCCGTTGTATAAAAATACAGCAATACAATTATGTACAGCATGTGATGCTTGACACTGATAATAAATGACTACGTGACAGGTTTACTTATTATGCGATACTTTTGTTGCTGTTGTAGAGTACGTTCTTCCTACTTGTTAAAAACAGCACTGTGTTATGCTGGGAGGACCCTTGTCCATCTCAGGCCCACTTTTCTCCTGTGTCAAGTGGTGACATGCAATGACTGGCCTGCACACCTAGGTTGCAGGGAACACACTCTATGAAGTTCGAGCAATGATGACGTCACCTAATTGTGTATACCTCAGAAGATGTCCCTGTCATTAAGTGACACAAGTGTACATGAAGTAGCTTCCTACTAGTAAATTAAAGTGGAGCCTACGCAGACCAAGTTCCCATCCAAGAGCACATGTTCAGTGCAGGCTCGGACCAGCTCCCCAGAAAGTGGGTGAATTTGGATTGAGCAGCAGTGATGCAGCCTGGGAAAACATCCTTGGATGTCATGTGACTGTATTCCGGCAGGAAGATGGTGGCTCTTGCCCAGTAATGTTGGAGCCAGTCTCTGACTGCAGATCTACCATGACAGGCCTTCCCTGGGGGCTTCCAAGGAAGTTTATTAATAAGAGTCAGGAGCCAAGAGTTAAATGGGTCAGCATCTCACTGAGTGCTGTTTGAGAGGTCAAGCAACCAGAAATCGTACAAATGATCGTTTAACTAAAAGAGGAAGTATGAAAAGCTATCTTTTCCTTACAAATGCAAAACTGTCTATAAATACAAAAAATCTTGGTGAAAGAAATGATTCTCTTCTCCTTTCAAATTCTTCTCCAAGGCCCACATCATTCAGGAAACTGTATCCAAAGGTATCATTTAGGATATTTTGGGGTGGTGGAGAACAAAAACCCTGTCTCTAATAAACTTTAAAAGGGAATGTACTGGCCCACAGAGTGAAGAATTCCAGAGGTGAACTGAGACTTTGAGCGTACTTGGTCAGGGCCCGTCTGAGCCTGGTCTCCTCTCTATATTATTTTTTTTTACCATGAAGTTAGCTTTCCTTATGGCAAATGGAAGCAACTATTTCAGGCTCCGATCTGCATTTAACCCAATGCAAAGTGAGGGAGGGTTTCTGGGTTTTAGAATCCCCATTAGATTCCTCTGACCATGCTCATGGGTCAGCACACTTAGGTCTGTGTGTCCACCCTGGACTCAATCAGTGAGTCCAAGAGATGGAATGCGGGGACTGGATTGACCTGGGTCTCTCCTTCTGATACTTGAACTGGGGGTAGGTGCAGCTTTCCTAGAGGCCTGTGCATCCACAGATGCAAACGAGGGGCAACTGGTTGAGGAAGGCGAAGGTGCAGGCCCAGAGGCACCGGCAAGGGAGGACTGCCAATCATCTCTGGCTAGCCTTGAGTGCTCTTCCACTCCGGCCCTTCGCTCCCATCCTGATGCATTCTGCATCCTCCTCACTGTGGGTCACGTTGTCTTGGTCCATCTGTTTTCTTCTGTTTTGTCCTCCTCTGTAGGGTCTCAAACACATGCATACTAACAAGTTAACACTTTCCAACATGTGGAAAGACAGTGGTGAGGACGATGAAAAATAGTAAAGAAGAAATATACTCAAAAGTATATCTCACCCCCTCAATGCAAAAGCTTGAGGTTTAATTTTAACCTTTATGAGGTTATAGGGATGACTGCAAGACTACATTCTGCAAAAAAAAAAATATATATATATATATACATATATATATAGATAGATAGATAGATAGATAGATAGATAGATAGATAGATAATCTGAAGAAAAATCAGAGCACAGGAAAAAAAAATTTTTTTCTCTAGCTCTGGGACATCTCCAAAAGCCAAGCTGGATGATCTTCCTGGGACAGAATAGAGTTGTTCTCATTGACTGCTGAAAGTCACTTAGAGAAATTCAGCTAATCACAGCTCCCTAAATGAAGCACGATCTTATTTCTTGGAAAACTTTGTAAGCAAGAGATAGATATTTGTAAAACATTTGAGTGAATCACATGATGTGTAAAGTAACTAAACTCCAAGGTCTCTGCTCCATCTACCAGTGAAACCTGAATCTCATGGACTCTCACACCCTTGTTGTGAGGGTGGCCAGATGCTAGGCAGATGGGCTTTCCTATAGAACAAGCTCATACAGCCATGCAGAGACACTGACTGCCAGTGGATTAGTCATTTCCTGTTCCACAATGCACCCCCCCACAATACCCCCAGTCTACCCCCAACCTCCACCACCAACATCACCATCTCCATCACGCACAGCATCCACCGCCATCGGCATCAACCAGACACCAACATCAACCATGAACATCATCATCAACACCAGCCTTTACCACCACCACCAATGCCAACCACTACTAACACCACCACCATCAGACCATCTGTCACCACCACAGTCACCACTGCCACTATAAGTCTTATGTTTTTATTCCCAGTTTGCTTTTCAAAATACCTTTCCAGGTCTCATTAGATACATCTCATGGTCTCATTAGATCTCATGATTGGGTTGGCAGCTCTGGCCTCATTCTCAATTTATCTGTGAATTAAGTTCCAGAGAGGTGAAGTGGTTTGTGCCTGGACACCAAAGTGGTCTGTCTGATTCTAAAGTTAATGCTTTCTTCAATGTAACACACTCTCCGTGAGACTGAAGAATTCCTAAATTCTGATGTGAACAGCTTTGGTCCTAAATTTAATGGGCCCATCTATCTCAACTCCCATATATTGCAGGTGTGCAACTAATCACTCAAAGTTTATGTGACTCCACAGAAGGTTAATCCCGCACATTTGTTCCAAATTCAGTCTTTTTCTCGTGACAAGAAACTATTGATTTGCATGTGCCCTGGAGTCTCCTGGATTCCTCTGGGAACACTGAAGCCCACGCCCTTCCTTGGAGCACAGAATTTGCTAGCAAAGGGGCAAATGGCCTTCTTCTGCCCACTGTCTGTTCTCCAATCATCAGAAAGCCCAAGATGGACACAGGCTGCTGGCTTCCAGTCACAGAGCCATCATCCAGCAGGCTCAGCTCAGTGATGCCTTTCTTGGTCCCAAGAACAAGGGTGTGACCTCTCTGTTCCAGGTAAATCCGAAGCTGATCCCTTCAGTCTTCTGCCTTCTCTCTCAGTGGATTCCCTGGGTTCCAATTTGAGGTCCACTCTTTGCACACTTTGACCCTAGGCTGGCCTGGCCGGGCTGCAGGACATCTGTGTTGCTAAGGGTCAGCGAGGAACATTTGGCCACCTTGCTCTCGAACGTTTTCTTTTTGAGCTCATACGTCAAATTTGAATAATAAATATCTTCAAAGGACTTATCATTCTTCTTGAGGATGTTGCTGGCTAACCGGAAGAAGATGATCACCCCATAGATGCCGACGATGGTGAGGATGTACCAGGCAGCACTTGTCCCCTCCGGCAGCCGCAGGAACCTGGTGGAGTTGGTGCCATTCCTCTCCTCCATGGGGTCACTCAGGAGAGAGCTGGCCTGAGTCTGGGGTGTCCCCGTGATCACTGAGAAACAAAGAGGTCCAGATGAGATGCAGCATCCTGGGCTGAGGCCCACCTGGCTGAGCCACGCCAGTGAGAGTGCTACTGTCCCCTGCAGCTGCTGAAAGGGGTGTTCTCTACAACATGGATGGGAGCCCAGAAACATGTGCGTCAATAAAGTTTTAAAAATCAAGAGTTCTCAACACCAAGTTCTTGAATAGGAGACATGAGATCATTTCTACTGTCCCCCAAAAAGTGCAGTAAAAATATCAGTAGGATTTCTTTGTGAATAGGTAAACTATTTGTATGGAAAAAGTAATTGTCAAAACTAACTAGGAAAAATCTGGGAGAAAAAAAGTGATGAGTGAATTAACCCAACCAGAAATTTAAAACTAGCCACCCAGAAAGTATAACTTATGTGTATAAGATCATGGCCCAGCTGCGCTTTGCACGGTGCAAAGGGGGAGGGATCCAATTCTCCCTGCAAAATCTCCCAGTGAGACTACAATAGCTAAAACAAGGTGTTGTTGATACATAAGCAAAAGTCCAATGGAGCAGAGTGAAGGCACCCCCCACAGGCGAGGAACTGGGCTGAGGTAGATAATCAAGGAGTGTTTCTGATCAGGAGGGGGAAAAATGGGCTCTTCAATAAGTAGCGTTGGAGCAATAAGCTTTGGACCCATATCTCTCATCATGGGTACCAGGACAGTCCAGATAAATCAAAGAATTTCACATAAAAAAATGAAACAATGTAAAGTCTTAGGAAAAAAAAAAAACCACAACAGATTTTTTTCCCCTTATCATCTCAGACTGGGATATCCTATCTAAGTATAACAGAAAAATGCAGAAGAGAGAAAGAAAAAGTTAAATTCAACTACATTTAAATTTTTTAAAATTATTGCATAATATAAACTAAAAGACAAATGACAAATCAGAATTCATAGCACTAATTTTCTTAATGGTTCTCGGTTTGTAAGAAAAAGTCTTCAACCCTCTAGAAAAATGTGCAAAAGGGCTGACAAAGAGATCCTAGGGGAAAAGGAACCTTCAACACAATGAAAAGCTCGATATCACTCATCTACTAAAACTACAAGTTACAACCATGAGATGACGTTCTGTTACCCGTCAGGTTTGTAACTAGTGATATTTCAAAATCCACCATGTGGATACATTGTGGGGCAATGAGGCCCCTGTGTAACCGCTGGCCTCAGCATAAAATCATGGTGTATGCAAGGCCCACCAAGGTCTACTGATATTCAAATGCATTTACCTTTGACCCAGCAATTCCACCTCTAGCAATTAATCCTAAAGGTGCTCTGGAACATGGCTGATGGAACAGTGCAGTCAGCCCACTGTACCCAGGGGTTCTGCATCCGGGGTTCAGAGGGTCACAGATCAAAATATTCAGAAAGAAAAAACTGCACCAGCACTGAGCATGTATGGACGTTAAAAAAATTCTTTAAACAACACAATATGACAATGATTTATATAGCATTCACATTGTATTAGGTATTATAATTAATTTGGAGAGGACTTAAATTATACGCAAATATTATGCCCTTAAAGGATTTAAGCATATGCAGATTTTGGTGTCTGTTGGGGCTCTGGAAAAGTCCCCCATGGAGAGAGAGCAATGACTAGATGCTTAACATAAATCACTGCAGCCTGGTTTGTGATGACTAATGAATGATTGGGAACAGCCAGATTAGTATCCACTGAGGAATGGTTAAATTCATTTTGGAAATTCCATGCAATGGAACCCTATACATTCATTAAAAAATGAAGATTTTAAATATTTAAATATTGATAAGTAAAAAAAAATAAGCTAAAGCCCATATAGTAAGCAATCAAGAGGGGAGGGGATGCATATTTTTATTTGCCCGCAGTTTATGTGCTGTGTGTTTGCTTTCTGTTGCTGTAACAGATACCTGAGATAAGTAAACTTATAAAGAAGCAAAGTCGATGAAGGAGAAAGATTAGTTTTAGCTCGCAGTTTCAGAGGTTTCCAGTTCATGGTCTCTTGGCCCCACTGTTTTGGGGTCTATGGCAAGCCACCACGTCATGGTGGGGACGTGTGGAAGAGGAGGCAGGACCCCAAAATCTCCTTTAGGGCTCACCCCCAATGACCCAAAGTCCTTCTGCAAGCCTGCACTTCCTAAATATTCCACACTCCCCAATAATACCACAGGCTGGCGACCAAGACTCTGGGGTCACTTACCTAAACCACAGCAGTACAGAGTATCTCATGGAGAAAACTCAAGAAGCCGGTACCTGTGGTTGCCTCCGGGGAAGAGAACTAACTGGAGGAAGAAGATGTACTTTTCACTGTCTGCTCTTCTGTACAGTTTGTACCATGTCCATTTATTTTAAAAAATAAATAAATCTAAAAACGAAAAAGTACAAGTGGGTGCTTTTCTGGTCTCCTTGGTAAAGTGCCCCTGGGTAAAGACATCATGTGCCCTTGTCAGATGGGAAGATTAAGATCTCAATTGCTGTTTAATTCAAAACTGTGTTCTCTAAGTGGGGAGCCAGTAAACAAAAGAGAACAATGAGAACCTCAGAAATCACACATGATCCTTGGCTCACTGGCTCAGACCCCAATTCTTGCCCTCCACGATCACAGACATATTCGGAAATGTTGTAGGCTAAATCTCAACCTCTTGGGAGACCAAAGGTGCTCTATAAGTGCCTCCTAATTGGTATCTGTTTGTTGCTCATTCATTTTTCAAACGCAAGACTCAGAGATATCAGTATTTTTATGCATAGCTAGTTGTCGGGATGTGTCCATTTTTTTACACAAAAGAAACTCATTATATTAACGATTGCAATATAAAATGAGCGTAACCTTTTTCTTATAAAGAGCTAGGAGGCATCTCAGGGGATGAACACATCCTGTAGAAGAGCTGTATTATTTTGCACTTGTAATTTAAGGACATGAATAAGGAAGCAGTTCTGGAGCTGCCAGCCTTGCATTGTAACGGGACACTCACCTTCTCACGGGTTCCTGCCCTTGACTCTCCCGGAGGTGAGTTCAAATGGCCGCCGTGGGAAGCCAGAAGAAAGGCAGTCCTCCCTGCTAACCATCACAGTCCCCCGGGTGGGCAGCACGGGGTTCCTGGGCAGGGAGTAGCATGGGGGCCCAGGAGGCCGGGCAGTACCTGCAGGAAATGAGCAAGGGCGTAGATTTTCTCTTTTCAATTAACCGGAGGTTCCCGTCCGTCTGTCTTCTGTTGGCCCAGAAGGAAAGGCTCTTCCTGGCTTTGACTCATCAAAAAGGTCTAAGTCAGGATAATTTTCAAAAACTACCACAGAGGTCCTAGGTAGTCCCTGGCACTTCCAGGGCCCGTGGAGGCCTGCGGTGACAGGGAGCTGTCCTTGAGACGGCTTGCCGCTCAGAGCCAGGGTGTCCCCTGAACCACCCCGTCTGCACTGGCTGTAGGTGTGGCCTGTGGCCTCATCACAGGCAGGAAACTCCAGGGCGCAGTCACCAGCTTTCTCTTGGACATTCTCCTGCTGAGGACACCCAGCAGGAGGAAGCAGGCCCAGGGGACACGCTAAGGGGACAGTGGGCAGAGGGTTCATGGGCCAGACTGAGAGGCACGGCTGTCCTCTTCCTAGACCCCATAGTCACAGGCCATGTTGGATTTGGGGTAGACTTGACTGGAAAGTGCTAGAACAGGAGTCCAGGGCGGAAGTTCCCAGGAAATGGGGAGGTGACCTCAGAAGACGCAGTTCCAATGCAGCCATGGTGTCAGCCCCCTGCCCCGAATCTTCACTTGAGGACCATGCCCTGACGTAGCTGTGAGATTGTTGTTTTTTTAAGATGTTATTTGATTAAATGAAAATGTAATCATCTTAAAGGTAATCCAAATGTCTATCAAGTGATAAACAGATAAATAAAATGTGGCATTTCCAATGCTATTATTCAGCGTTAAAAAGGGGCGAGGTACTAACGCACACTACAAAGTGAACATACCTTGGCCACATGGGGAAAGAATCTGGTCAGGAAGGACCACATATTATGTGATACTATTTATATATGAAATGTCCAGAATTGTCAAATCTACGCAACAGAAAACACACCCGTGGCTGCCTGGGGTATAGGGTTTAGGGGGTAATAACAACAGGGGACAGGATTTCTTTTGAGAGCAATGAAACTTCTAAAATTGTGATACTAGTTGCACAACTCTCATTATACTAAATACCTTTCAATCTTTATTTTAAATAGGTGAATATTACAGTATGTGAATTATATCTCAATAAAACTGTTAAAAGTTATCATATAGATATACAGTAGAATACTATGCAATTATGAAAAAGAGTGGGGAAGCTGTTTGTGCACTGATGAGTAAAGACCTCCAGGGTAGATCATTAAAAGAATAAGAGCAGAGAATGATGTTGTCCCATATGTTCAACAAATGGAGAGAAATGCACATGTATCTGATTTTGCTTGTGGGCATTGAAAAACCATGGAGAGAAAGCCCAAGAAATGAAGTTCAGAGTTACCTGGGGGAGGAGAGACACAGTGGACAGACAGCAGGGGTGGGAGAGAGTTCTCACTGTATATTCTTTATGCTTCAAAGAATTTTAAATGTGCTTGTGCATGCAAGCTTGTGTGTGTGTGTGTGTGTGTGTGTGTTCCCTATTCAATAGCAAATACACCCAGATGTAACCAAATTAAACTTTTCTTTCGCCTCCTGCTGTCTCTTGCTCTGGGTGGACCATGTCGTTCCTGCTGTGCCCTGGGGACAGGGACTTCTGACACTGCCAAGGTGAGGTGGAAGGTTCAGAGCCCTGTGGCCCCGGATAATAAGGGGAAGATGGCAGTTACCAGGGCTGGGGGGTCAGGGGTCTCACCCCGACTGTGCCCTTGCTGTCTGACCCTGGGCCAGTCCCCACCTCTGTAAGCCACGGTTTCATAGAGTGGAGCCTCAGCAGGATCCCACGTCCCCCTGAGGAAGGCCTGGGCTGTCTGTGGAAAAGGCCACTCCTTGAGTAGGTGTCTGAATCCACAGGGGGCGTGGGTTAGGAGGGGGCATCCGAGCCTGGTGTGCAAGAGATGGAGGTGGAGAGAGTGTCATTGGTGGGTTTTGGCTTTCAGCTCAGAAGGTTTTCATGGGAAGTGGGGAGTGGGGAGTTCCAGAAAAATGGAGGACCCACTGGGAAAGTGGCCTTTGTGAAGCAACCATTGGGCTGCGAGTCCTCCCAGCCCACACTGCGGGGACCACCAGCATTGAGGAAGGTCCCGTGTCAGGCACTGTCCAGCTGTCTAACGGGCACCTTCTAGAATCCTGTGAAGCAGGGGTATTATCTCTGCTTAAAGAGGGGACCCGCAGGCTCAGGGAGGTGACTGGCCTAGTGTCACATACTTCATAGATGCCAGAGGCAGGTTTCCTGACACCAAAGTCCTCCTTCCACCTCCTGAATGTCACCTTCCAGACAGACCAGAGCTTCGCGCTGTGGCCTGCAGGACGAACTGTGGACGGTCTCTGGGGGTCATGCTCATACTGGTCTTGGAGACCAGAATCGGTCCTCCTCCCCCCGCCCCGTGTTGAAGAATAAACACTGCAAAACATTGCGGCAAAAGTAGAAAGTTTTATTTAAGAAAAGGATAGAGACACACTTCTCCAGAGAAAGTGGGGCCCCGAGCTGGACGCCCATGGGAATGGGCGTGTCTTGCTCTTTTATAGACCCCCAGAACCTCTTTCTTCTCTATGTGTGTGCGCCCAAGGGCAGGAAGGCATTGCTGTGTTGGGAAGTGCTGTCCCCGATCCCAGGAGGTCAGCTGTTAGCAACCCAGGAATCCCAGAACTAATCCTCTGCCAGGCCTTCCACCCTGCCTCAGTTTGTTGAGGAATGTGGCGTTTCCTGACCCCTCAGGCCAGATGGGCTGCAGGCAGATGGCTTTTGGGCAAAGAAAGTGTGTGGGGAGTCAGTACAGTGGGCTCATTTAATCCTCTTAGCCTCGTGACCCCACCATCTTCTATTTGTTCCCTTACAATACGCATGACCTTAGATCTCTCCCCGTCGGCCCAAACTAACCTATGAGGTTAAAAGTACGGACAACGGACGGCCTTCAGGTGAGGGTGATGGTCTGGGGGACTCAGTCCCGGTTAAGTTCTGCACAGGATCAACCCTCAGAGCTGCTCGTCTGTGCTGTGAGCCCTTTTCTGTACCCATTTATGCTTCAGTGTGAACCTCTTCCCGCTGTTTGGAAAGCCCTGATCGTCGGTGGAAACAAAGCTTAAGGTCCATAAGGAAAATGCAAATGCTATTTTCAACTGGGACTTTCCATCTGGACAGGGCCACATGGTACCTGGTCTGGGTGGGGGTAAAGATTCCAAATCATGGTCAGCGCAGGGGCTGGGCAGCCACCTGCTTCTCATGCAGCACGGGTGACACCAACTCCTTGTCCTTCACCAGTGCTTACATAACAGTGAGTGGAACCACCTGTACCCCCAGGAGGGCCAAGAATTTTCTTCTGACCTGTGTACCTCCGGCTCAACACACTGAGACAAACATTGAGCTAAACATAATCAAGCAGAGATACTCACCAGGAAATTCTTGTCTGACTGCTGTTCTGGGAGAGAGAATTCCAGTGTCCCTTGTACTTTTGACATTAGAGACCAAATTCTCCCACAGGGCCTGGGGTTTTTTCCCTTCCCCTGTCTGCCGAAGATCCAACCCCCTTACAAAATGCTTAAATTGGGAGTGAAGGTGGCAATGATGTGGATTTGACTCTCCAAAAATTTTTAAAAAGAAAATAAACAAGTGCTTTTGCATTTTAGGATGTTGGAACTGGAATTTTTTTTTTTCAGTCAACCAGTAAATCCTCATATGTACTCTGCCCTTTCTCAGGAGACTGTCATGGGAGGCAGAGCCCACCAGCCAGCCCCAGTGTCCCCCAGTGCAAAAGGACATTTGAAAAAGACAGTGAAGGAGCCCTGTGGATTGCAACCAAGATGCTTCCCTACCCTCCTCCTCCAGAAAAAGGACTCCTGAAGGTTCCAGATGTTTCTGCCTGAGGGGAGGGGGGATCTTCCAGAAGACGTTTTAGGACATGCTTTGCAGATTCCTAAGATCTTTAATTGACATGTGACTTTTGCCTGTCCTTCCAACGTCACCCTTCTCTTCTCCAGCCTTTAGGGACACTGAATGTCACTCTTCATCACTGGCAATGGCACAGGAAGGCCCAGGGTCTTTAGAACTGGAAGACCCACTGATAGGCTGGCCTTTCCCACTGATTCTGTGGGACTCTGGTCAAGTCACTTCAGCTGTATAAAAAAGTGACAAGTTGTGACATGAATGATTCCACAGAGTCAACAGGGCAAACGCCATCACACCTCGCTTCTTCTCCTAGTTAATTACTTGCATTGCCACCTGCCCGGTGGCAGAACCTCCTGTGCTTCCCTCCCTCTTAAGGCCTTCTGGTTGACCAGGCCTCCCTGGCTTGGTGCGGGGTGAGCAGGGTGGCTAGTCTGGCTGCCCAACCAAGCCAAGTGGAGTCACCCTCTGCTGCTGTGGCTTCCAGCTGCTCCCCAGGGACCTCTGCTGAACACCGGCCTCATGTAGTTGGCCCAGATGCTGAACATGTCTCCAGACTTCAGTGGTGTCCCCCAGGGACACTCTGGCTCGGGGTACTCTCTGCAGCAAGCACACAGCAGAACAGGACGCCTCTGCTCCTCCCCCACTCGGCCTTGGGGAAGGAAGGGCCACCAGGCCACCCCACTTCCCAGCTCCCTCCACCGCTGCAGCTGCCACTGAGCAGAGCCTCAACCAAAATCCAGTCCAGACTTTTGGCTGTGTCACAAGACGGCACATTAAGACTGTTCCCAGCCTAAGATGGCCGGGGCAGGGAGAGATCACACCACTCAGTGTGAAGGGCCCACAGAACAGGTGTAAGGAGCCGTGAGAGCAAAGATAAAGCTGCGTTGCCATCAAACCCACAGGGCTTGTCTGTAAGGATGTGGTCACCCTGGAGACGCCCTGGGATGCTGAGCCCCTTTTCAAGAGTGAATCAAAAGGGAGTGTCTATTGGTTCCCAGGAGCAAGGAGCAGGAAGGGCAGAGCCGACCTGAGGGGCAGATCCAGGAGCACCCGGGGCTCTCCTTCTCCATCTCTGCCCTGATTGCCTCCTGCTGCAGGTGCCCAGACTCACCCTCAACAGTTCCACCACCAGCAGGGAGGGAAATTCCAGGGTGTGGCTCTGACAGGCCTGAGTCAGGAGACCGCTGCGATGACCACTATAGAACTGGGATGCTGGTCAGAGATCGAGCCTCTCTGTAGCCCACGCTCAAGACAGAAGCTAACCTGTCCTAAGCCACTGACCGCACCATGGAGCATGGATTGAAAAGGGACAGAAATTGGGGGCATAAGCCAGGCAGGAGCTGAGGGCGTCTGAAAGACAGTAGAGGG